CCCCCCCCCCCCCCCCCCCCCAAGACTTCAGTCCCTGGGCCTGTTGAATTTTATTTTGCTGTCATATTTTTATCTTTCTGGATTGTGACAGTGATTTCTCTCCTGATTTCTTTCCTTTAAGGAAGAAAAGCGTTTGTGCACCATGCCATTCCGATTCCAATAACTAACTGGAAGGAGGCCAGCTTTTAGCCAAGCAGTGCTGATACTAATTAAAAACCAGTTATTCTCTATTTCCTAAGCAGGAGGGGAGGGGCAAATGGAAATCAGACTGCAGCTTGGGGCCTTCTGTATTAAAAAGTTTTGAGGGGAGTTTGGCCCGTGGTGATAGAGTGAGAGTTGACTAAGGCAGTTCAAGAGGTCAGACCCAAATCCCTGGAGCCTGCCTATATCTGGTGTATGCCACCGCATGTAGAAACCAGGTATGCTGGATTGCTGCCCACGGGACACAGAATGGTCTAGTTGGGGAGGTAGAGATACACTCTTCATTGTGAAACGTGTATTGTGATAGCGTATGCTAAAACGTTACCCTGGTGGGGTGTGAGGAACTCGCGTGGAGTCGATGGAGCTTAGACTCCGGCCAGGGGTGAACCGTGGCAGTGTGCATCAATTACACAGTCTCACCTGGAATGAGCTGTGGCCCCGACCCGAAGACTCCACGGAGCCAAGTTTGAGGAAAGTCCATAGAGCAATGAGAGGAAAGGGCTGGGGGCGCGGGGCAGGCTCCTAGAGTTTTCTCGCGGAGCTGTCAAGTGATACGGACTCCATCGAAGAGGAGAAGAGGAATCGTGAGCACAAGGAAGTTGTGGGAGGTGAAAAGAGGTGGGAGTGGCAGCAGAAAGCAGCTTCGGGCCCCTGGGGCAGCCAGTGCTTGGAGGGGAGCTGCGAAAACTCTGAGCCTGTCTCCACTATTTCTCTTTCTCCTTTTCTTCCAGATGCCTCATCCCCGAAGGTACCATTCCTCAGAGCGAGGCAGCCGGGGGAGTTACCACGAACACTATCGGAGCCGGAAGCATAAGAGACGAAGAAGCCGCTCCTGGTCAAGTAGCAGTGACCGGACCCGGCGGCGCCGGCGGGAAGACAGCTACCACGTCCGTTCCCGGAGGTGAGGCTTCAGGGGGAAAAACCCCTCCTCGGGGTCGCTCACTCATTTATTTATTCAGCAGAGATTTATTGGCTAGATGCTGAGCGGTTGGGGTAAGGGGCCACTCAGGACTGTTACCAGAATGAGCCATTTGCACTGTGGTGTTAAGAGTGCTATCATAGAGGAAGGGCGTGGTAAGGGGCTGAGGAAGCATCTAGCAGTTTGGTTGGATTGGGGCAGGATGTGTAATTCAAGAACCAGGGTGAAGTGTCTCAGGCGAAGGGAGAGGAAGTGTAAAAGAGTAGGGTCTAGAGATAGTTAAGGACATAACAGACAAGACAAAGTGAGGTCTGCGTGTTCAGCGTGGCAGGGGTGGGTTAAGGATAGTTTGGAGCAAAATTGGATGTCAGTCAGGAACGACTCAGGAAAGAAATGGCTCTTTGTTCCATCTGTTATGTCACTAGTGGCAGGCGGGGGGTGGGGGAGGCCCCCAGAGGGAGCGGTTCTGCCTGTGTCCCTTCGGGGGTCTTGGTGGCATGCAGGTGTGGGGATCCTCGTCTGCTCTTAATGATTTCACTCCTCTGGTCCTTGGTCCTCAGAATGACCCCATGAGTGTCTGAGAGCAGTTCTTCCAGCATCGTTCTTTGTCCTTGTTGAGGGAGGACCTCGTCCTGTCGTGGGGCAAGGAGTGTGGCCTGAACAGATGCACCTAATGGGTGTCTGTTGTCCAACAGCAGCTACGATGACCGTTCATCGGACCGGCGGGTGTACGACCGGCGATACTGTGGCAGCTACAGGCGCAACGATTACAGCCGGGACCGGGGAGAAGCGTGCTACGACCCGGACTACCGGCACTCCTATGAGTACCGTCGGGAGGACAGCAGTTACCGCAGCCAGCGCAGCAGCCGGAGGAAGCACAGGCGGCGGAGGCGGCGCAGCCGGACGTTCAGCCGCTCGTCTTCGGTGAGTGCTCGCCCAGGCCCTTCCTCTCCCCACTCCTCTCCGGCCCTCTAGGACCCTGGTAAGTGAGAAGTACCCTTGTTTTTAGCCGAGCACTGGGGCAGGAACACTGAGGTGGGCACTGAGTCTCTGCTCTCTCGGAAGCTCTCCAGCTCTCGGAGGGCCCTGGAATCTGCTTTGGAGGTGGACGGGCACGGAGCATTTGTACCCCGGTGCCTTCCTCGGCATGCTGGGCCTGTTGTGTTGGGGACAGCTCCTCTGTCCCAGACGCCTCCACTCTGGAGTGGAGACCTTGCCTGTGAATTGCCTTTCTCCCCCAAGCTCTGGGCTCCACGGCCCCTCAGTAGGTGGGCTCGGGTGGGGGCAAAGGGAGATCGGTGCCTGCCTGGACGGGCATTGTGTGGAGCATGGGGTTGCGGGTGACACTGGCAACGACACCACTTCTCTGCTCTGCCCGTTCCTCTCCCTGTTCCCGTTTTGGGTTTGGGGACTTGGGATTATGCGCCGCTCTCTCTTCTCACCCCGATCCGCCTTACTGCATCTGACGTGTTCCCTTCCACTGTCCCCCATCATCGTCTGTCCCCCCTGGCTGGGCGCCTGTGACCGGTGACCCCTCCACCACCCACCCCGCCTCCCTCCGGCCCCCGCTCCGACACCTGGCTTGCTCCGACCCCCCCCGCCCCCCGACAGCAGCACAGCAGCCGGAGAGCCAAGAGTGTAGAGGACGACGCTGAGGGCCACCTCATCTACCACGTCGGGGACTGGCTACAAGAGCGATGTACAAGCCAAATCGTAACAATCCTATAGCCTGTAATGGTCCCATAGCCATCCTAACGTCCCGAGCCAACCCAAGTCACAGCCTCTTGCCTTTCCTCAGTGGTGTTGTTTATCTGGGTGGTTTGAGTTGCTGTTGAGAATTGACCTCTGCTGTCCACTCCCAGCTCTCATGGCCCCTGGGTTAAAGGTGGTGGGAATCACACAGGGGTGTTCTTCCCCTGTGACCATCTGTATCTGTTCCCCCTTCCTTCATCTCACCCCAGGTTGCCGTACCCTTTTTTCCTCCAACTCAGCTCATTCCCCACCTTCTCTCCCTCCCTCTCCCCGACCCTGCTCTGTTTCATTTCAGATGAAATTGTCAGCACGTTGGGAGAGGGGACCTTCGGCCGGGTTGTCCAGTGTGTCGACCATCGCAGGTAACTATAGCCCCTCCCTGCTCCGTACTCCTAGGCGTGGCGAGGTGCTGAGGGTCAGTCTGGGGGTGTTTTTGCTGATTGGCCAAAGGTAGGATTTCTTAATCCCCGGACAGCCCCGTTCATTTTGAGATGTTCTTGATGACCCAGCAAAAACCTCTTATGGCCACCACAGGGGTGGGGCTCGAGTCGCCCTGAAGATCATTAAGAACGTGGAAAAGTATAAGGAAGCAGCTCGACTTGAAATCAACGTCCTGGAGAAGATCAACGAGAAGGACCCTGACAATAAGAAGTAAGCAGCAGAGGGGTGTGTGGGGGTCTGAGAGGCTCCACTCCTGTACAGGAGAACCCAAACCCTCCCGGCCTGGGTTAGGCAGGCAGGGGAGTCCTGGGCCTTCTCATCCATTCATCTTTTCGTCATCATCTTAGACTAGTAGGACATTAGGGCAGGAAGAGAGGGTGTGTGACATTGTCTGGTCTGTTCCCCTTGTTGTCAGGGCACTTAGATTCCTCTGCACTTTGGCTCCAGCCAGGGTGGCCTCTGTAGAGCTCTGCCCTGGAAATGGCCCTGAGACTGAGAATCAACATTTTCCGTGAAAAATCACTTGAGCTTTTCGATATCTAGAACCGTGTTGCCGAGGCGACAGACATTTACGTGTAATATTTGTGTCCACGCGCCTTTTGTAAGCCAACGTGGAAGAAGGGCATTAAGGAGATGGCCAGTAGAAACACGGGGCCCACTGGCAGCCGATGGTGAATGGATCTCAGGAGTGGGAGCCGGGGTCAGGGTTTAGGAATGACAGTTTGACAGTTCAGGGTCCACACCGGAGACCGGCACCAACAGCTCTTCAGCAAATGGAACCTTTTTTAACTATTTAAAATGATGCAGGAAAATGGTATGAACCTTGGGTCCGCCAGAAAGGCCGTTCGCTGGCCGAACTGAATTTGTTGGTCATACCGCCCGGCAGGTTTTTACCCGCGGATGTGGACTCAGCAGCCCTGCAGCCCCTCCTTGTTGGAAGGGTGGTGGGCAGATAGGAGCTCATCAGACCTCCCCCTTCCCTCATCTCTTCTCAGCCTCTGTGTCCAGATGTTTGACTGGTTTGACTACCATGGCCACATGTGTATCTCCTTTGAGCTCCTGGGCCTTAGCACCTTCGATTTCCTCAAAGACAACAACTACCTGCCCTACCCCATCCACCAAGTGCGCCACATGGCCTTCCAGCTGTGCCAGGCCGTCAAGTGTGAGTGGGGCGGGCCGAGATGGACTCTGGGGCAGCCCCTCCCTCTGTTGGGCCTCTTCTGTGTCAGTGAGCAGTGGTGAAGCCCCTAAACTGTCAGCTCGATTATCTGCAGTTCTTTCATTCACTGTCATGTTGACACCTCCTTAACTCCTTGACCAGTGTTCTCACTGTCATCGATTGGTCTTCCTCCACATCCAGCCTAGCAGGAGCTGGAAGAGAAAGCCTTTGAAATCAAAGCATTGACCGGATTACCTCTTTTTTCCTTCATTTCCCTTTCTTGGGAAAATAGAAGTCAGGTTGCAAGCACAAAGAGACAAAAAGTCTGCCCCAGCTAGAGGCTTACGTTTGTCTGAGCTGAGATGCTCTCTGTTTCCACCAGAGCAGGTGCGGCCAGGGACTAAGGCAAACAAGGGGTCAGATGGGGGGTCCAGACACAAGTACCTGGTTCCCCTTGGGTCTTCCTGACTATGCAGTTTCCCAGAGTTGAATTCACGGAACATCAGATAGGCACGCACGTCAAGGAACAGAACTGCAATGCGTAGCAAGCTCTTTGTACGTCAGTTGAGAATCATGTTTGTTCTCCGATGCTGATAAGCATTGTGCTTCTTAGACCAGGCATTTCATTTGGAAGTAGGGCAGAAAGCAGCCTAGTGATTCTGGATCTGCCTCCTCGCCAGCTTTGAGCCAGGTGACCAAGCTTGGGGTCGCTGGTGCCAGTTAGCCCTGGCCACCTGGAACAACCCTGACCTGGTCTTCTCCCCTGCAGTCCTCCATGATAACAAGCTGACACATACGGACCTCAAGCCTGAAAATATTCTGTTTGTGAATTCAGACTATGAACTCACCTACAACCTAGAGAAGGTAAGATGGACAGGCGGCCGGGCCTTAAAGCCCCTCTCTCCTCCCTGTTACTTTCTCCCATGTTCTCTCCCAGTATGGCTCTGACTGGGTAAGCCCGAATACCAAAATAGAGTGAAAGGGAGAGATTTAAGGGACGCTTGGGGGGCTCAGTCAGTTAAGTATCCAACTTTGGCTCAGGTCATGATCATGGTTCATGAGCTCGAGCCCCCGCGTCGGTCTGTGTGCTGACAGCTCGGAGCCTGGAGCCTGCTTCGGATTTTGTGTCTCCCTGTCTCTCTCTGTCAAACACAAATAAACATAAAAAAAAAATTTTTTTAAGATTTAAGAAGATATAATTTGGAAGAGAACTTGGAAGGAGAAGCTCAGAGAACTTTCCAATAGAGAGCAAATGCTTTCAAAATACTTGGTTGGGACTTTTTTCCTCTGTAGGAAAGCTCAGTTCTGGACCTATTTTCAGAAGCACCGTAGTACCAGTGCGTGGGAAATGTCCACATACATAGGGACTTGTGTGCTCTCCCATGATCCCACTCCTAAGTCACCTGCAGGATACGGGGAAGCTGTAAAGCAGATTCTCCTTTGTGCATGGGAGTAAGCAGGGGGTGAAGTTGCTTTTTTTCAGGCTTGAAAGCACTCTAAAGAGTAGTGGTAGAATCTTGGTCTCGGGTGGCTGGGTCCATCCTCCTCCTGCTCTGCTCCTAGAAACGAGATGAACGCAGCGTGAAGAGCACAGCTGTGCGGGTGGTGGACTTTGGTAGTGCCACCTTTGACCATGAACACCACAGTACCATCGTCTCCACTCGCCATTACCGAGCACCAGAGGTCATCCTCGGTAAGTGGGGGCGAGTAGGGGAACGGACTCGTCCAAGGGTGGGCAGTGGGGAGGGTGGGGCCCCCTAAGCACTGTCTAACACCTTGTTCCTCCCATTCCCACTAGAGTTGGGCTGGTCACAGCCTTGTGATGTGTGGAGCATAGGCTGCATCATCTTCGAGTACTATGTTGGCTTCACCCTGTTCCAGGTAAGCAGTGGAGTGTCTTATGTCCCCACTTGGCATTTTCCTGCCTGGGTTCCTTGTCTGCCAGGGACCTGTCTGCTCACTCCTCCCCTTTGCTAATCATCCCGGAAGCTGGTCCTCAGCAGCCCGTTTGCAGCACCGTGCTCAGTTCTGTCTTTGTTTCGCAGACGCATGACAACAGAGAGCATCTAGCCATGATGGAAAGGATCTTGGGTCCTATCCCTTCCCGGATGATCCGGAAGACAAGGTGAACCTTGAGTTGGGGGGAGCTTAACCCTTTTTCCTTTCTCTCCTCGAAATTGGTCGATTTCACATCATTTTCTTTTTTCTTTGACACCTTCCCTCCTCCCAGCTACTGTAAGATGGGGGAATAAGGGAAATGTCCCCCAACAAAAGGAACCTCCTGATTCCTCAACCTCCCCTTCCCCTCTAGGAAGCAGAAATACTTCTATCGGGGCCGCCTGGATTGGGATGAGAACACATCAGCAGGGCGCTACGTGCGAGAAAACTGCAAACCACTGCGGGTGAGCCAGGCTGGGGATACCTTGCGCCCACTGGCCAGAGGGCATTTCCTTCTTCAGGTGGTTTGCCCCTGGAATGCACTTCACAAGAGAGGGTTAGGAAAGAAGGGGGAAAACTGAAATGCCCCTTTGGGTATCGTAGAGATACGAGGGAGTGGTTTTGTGGAGGGAAGGAGGTTAGATAGCCATGGATTTCTTGAGCCCACCAGAGATCACAGTAATGTCCTGGGTTCTGTAGGTCAGACAGAAAAGAATAAACTACCTTTGAAGAGCTTACATTTTAACGAGGAGCTAAAGAAGATTCATGACGTTGACAAGGATATACAAGCAGAAAGAACCTTCAGAGAGTACGAAGGAGTAATTGTGCTAGTGGGAGGGAGTTGAGCAGTAGTATCCGCAGCGCTCGTAAGGTCGTGTTCCCAATAGCATTCATAACGGCGGAGGCTTGGTCCTCTGAGGTTGAAAGTTAGGGCCTTGAAGAAAAAGGGCAGGAACTGTAAGGCGTCGTGCCTCACCTTTTCCCTGCCCTCCACCACCAGCGGTATCTGACCTCCGAGGCAGAGGAACACCACCAGCTCTTCGATCTGATTGAAAGCATGCTAGAGTATGAACCTGCTAAGCGGCTGACCTTGGGTGAAGCCCTTCAGCATCCTTTCTTCGCCCGCCTTCGGGCTGAGCCACCCAACACCAAGTTGTGGGACTCCAGTCGGGATATCAGTCGGTGACGATCAGGCCCTGGGCCCCCCTGCGTGTCCTGCAGCAGTGGGTGTCCAGTCCAGGACACTGGTGCTTTTTTATATCCGAGAACAGAGCCGGAGCCAGCTCCTTCCTCCTGGCTCCCTGTATACCTGTGAATATGTGAAATAGTGTAAATACGGAAGAACTTGTACCTACTGCTTCGTCCCCAGCCTTGTACAGAATGCTGTTCCTTCCCACACTTCCCACCGTCACCTGCCCCCTCGCTGTTGAGCTGGACAGGGCAGGATGAGGTGACCGGGTGGCATCTGTCCCATGTTTTATAAGGAATTTTGTACAGTCTTTGTGAAATAAAAATGACGTGCTTCATGCGACCCCCACCCCTGGAGTTCGAGGTCTGGGACGCTGGGCTGGAGGGATGAGAAGACCGCCGCCCTTCTGAGTTTGTGGACCCAGGGGGTCCATCCTCCCCCTGCACCGTCCTGAGCCCGGCCGCCGGTTCGTCCGGTGTGTCGCGAGAGGGTTGCGGTGGCCGGGGAGTTCCTGTGGGCCAGTCGGGGGCACTCGTCTGAGTGCTGTGCCGGGGGAGGGGGGGGGCGGGGGGCCCGGGCCAGCCGGA